CAACCTACCCTCCTACTGCTGCTCCTCTTTTAAGGGAACCAAACGAAAAAAAGGTACCCTGAAAGTGAAGGGAACTGGACGACTATACGATACCATACCGCTTCTCCCCACTCACGACCGAATACCTAATACTGATCTCTCCGCTCCAAGGCCGCCTTACACTCGCATCCCCGTTCCTTTGGCATCATCTCATCTCATCCTTCCCCTTCCCCTTCCCTCTCTTCCTCCGTTCCCCTCCTCCTCCTCCTCCTCCTCACCCTCCTCCCTCCTCCCCTCCCCTCTCCTTCCCTCCCTCCCTCCCTCTGAATTCGGTTTCTCCCCGACACCTTCAAGACCACCCTTCTTGCCATGGGTCTTGTTGGTCTCCGCTTCTTGTTTGCTCTCTTACATGCAGACTTCCTTTCCCTCTCTTTCGTCACTGCCGTTGCTTGATCTATGGCGTTTTGTTCTGACTCGCCTTTCCGTGCATTCGGCCGCTGACCTGCAGCTCCCACGCTGCCATCCGTCCGTCTTCCGAATCTCGAATCCTTCCCACCTCCCAATTCCTCCCCTCCGATCGAGTCGGTCGTACCTCGCCTCTTCCTCTCCCCGTCTCGACCTCTCCCGTCTCTCCTCGACCCATTGCCCCTCTATATCGTCCTCATGCCCGCCCTCGAGGTTCCGGAGACCGGGTTGTCTCTCTGCAGAGACAACCACGGCAATGACGTTACAAACAAGCCCCCTCAGATCATGCGGCTGAATCTAGCTCAGAGCACCCTCGATGAGCTGATCCAGAGCCTTCGGAACGACCAGACAGCCCGAATCCGCCTGGGGAAACACTCGACCCTCTACTACGGCTCCAAATCCCAGCCCTTCCACTCCCACCCCGAGGCGTGTCGATCCGAGTTATACCGCGGCAGCTCCGCAGACAAGGAGAACCTATATTTTACCGGTGTTTTGAGCCATAGCTTGGAGGTTCAGAAGGCGAAGGAGGACACTGCGGCCACCGATCAGGCATTGGCCACCCTGGAGCAAAGCCTGAGCGCTTTTGAAAGAGGAAAGGAGTCGAAGAAGACTCATATAATCACCAGCATTGACGAGGTGAGAGCATTGCGAGCAGGCGATAGCCGCTCCAGCTCTGGGAAACATGCTGCTCGTCTGGCTCGTCCCGCAAGCAAAGTGGAGCTGGAGAAGGATCGGCTGCTGACTGCCGCCAATCGCTCCGTTTCCTCGAGTCCAGCTTTGGGGGTTGCTCGATCGCCTGTGTCCATGCCTCCGCTGACGCCCACCTCCGCTCCGCTTACCCAGAACAAAGATCGCATCCGCCTGGAAGCCCTCAAGGTCCCCTTTATCCATCTCCTCGCCGTCCGTGCGGTTTCCGCCAATTTCCTTGCGCGCCAGACCCGTTCGTCCCTCGAAGACTGTGAGGCCTTGGCTCGGAAATATGGTGCCGAGAACCGAATAAATCCGGAGAAGTTCGATCTCAAGGACAAGATATACCGGGACCTCGATGTGTGGAAATTCCCCTACCCGTCTCAGGAAGACAGGCAGGAAGCCATTGAGAATGCTATCTCCGCTTTTGATCGCTTGCGGATCTCCCGCTCCGACAAGCTATGGCAGCTGCTTCTGCCTAAGGAAGAACGCGGAAAGGGCAAGTGCTTGTCGCGCCTGGACTTGCGGACGGGGCCCATTAAGAAAACGGCTACGCCTCGGATCCAAGTGCAAACATCTGATGATAACGGCAAAGACGGCTACACTACTGGCCAGGAGACCGATAAAGCTAGTGGCAACGGTCTGACCCCGAGGACGGTTGAGCCGACGTCGGCTCCCAAATCCGGGACGATCGCGCAAAAGAAACGGGTAGGTGAGAAAGACGCAGGTGCCAAACGGCCCGCCACCAAAAGCAAGACTGTGGCCAATAGCACCTTGACTGGGCGCGTCACCAAGAAGGCGGAGCGGAAGACGACTGCGAAACCGGAGGGTAAATTCAAATCGGCAGAATTTGTTCATGATTCAGACGAGGACGACACGGACATGCCTGACGCCTCGTCAACCGAGAAGCCTCAGCCTGAGAAGACGAAACCCGAACTCAAGCTGCCGGCCAAACCGCCAACCCTCCTCCCTCCCAGGGAGTCTTCCCATGCGCCGACACCAAAGGTGGAGCAGCCAGAAGCTACACCTAAGAGTGAATCGCTCAATCAAGCCCCTCATCGGCCTACTGCAGTCAAAAGACCTCCTTCATCGCGGCCCCCAGCCCTGAAGTCCCCGCAGAAGTCCCCACAAAAGCCGTCGCCCCTCGGATCTTCGCCCCCTACCAATGCCTCGGATATTCAGAGTCGCAGCCGTTCTTCCAGCCAGAACAATTCGTCCAGTGCCTCATCATCTCCGCTTATCACTCAGGTGAACAGACCGAGACCTGCTGCGGGCGCCCCCACCGTAAGAAAGGTGGTTAAGCCCAATGGGGTGTCCAGACCGGCTGGAGTCGCCAATCCTTTGAAGCGCAAAGCGGAGCTTGAGCGGCCTGCATTATCATCCCATGCTCCCGGCCGTGTGACGGGGGATCTCGAGCACAAGCGGCGGCGAGCCGTGAGCACGTCTAGTGGCAGCACTGGAAGCGCCTCGCCGCCTCTCAGCCGCGAAATCCTCCTGCAGCAATTGCGCGAGAAGTCGCAGACGTTTAAGCAGTTCTATGCCAAGTACCGCACCTTACATGACGCACTGGCCTCGCAGTCCGACCCACCACGAGTGGACTTGGAGAGGCTCCACAAACAGCACGTTCGGCTGCAGCGGATGAAAAAGGAGATATGGGATGAAGATCGACGGCTCCGGGATGGACTCTAACGACAGATCATGGCATGTGCATGAAACCTAATTCTCGACCCTTGTTTTTATCTATGGTTCAATCCCGGACATGACAGAACGGGGTTCCTGTTACTATTCGACGATGTTGATCCTTTGCCTACCATTGAGTATTGTTTAGCATGACGAAGCCGGATATCAAAAGTGCTTCGAGGCGTTTGTGGGCTTGATGATTTTCCTTGTTTCCTTTTCTTTTTTTTTTTTTTTTTTTTTCCTTTTTTTTCCCCCTTAATTGAAAACTTGCACTGACGTTCCTT